TTCAACATTAAGAGACAATATAACACATGGATATTACAAATGCATATAAATTGATGCTTTAGTCTTCATAAAGTATCAAGCTGAAGCCAATTTAATGCCCCATGCTGAACTGCACATAACTTATATACGTAGATATTAAAAAGCCAAGTGTTTATAGGAGTTGGTTTCTTTTTGTTTAATTGTTCTTTCTCATTTTGATCCATATTCTTATCAATTATTTGTGATCAGAGGAGAAATGAACCAGTTCATGAATTGAAATCAAAAATGAACATCACTAACCAGTTCTACTAAAATTTTAATTGTGTTTCAGTTTGTCATAATGCAAACAATTTTATTAAGAAAAAAAGAACTTCAGTAGTTTTATCTGCTGATGACTAAAAAACAAATCAATGCCAATCTGAAAACAAAGATAATACCTAAAAGACATGTTATATTAAATAACAATAATTATTAGTAGCAAAGTCCTTTTAAGGACTTTGCAGTCCCTTCAGTTTTTAGAGAGTAGATGAGCCAAGAATATGAAGTCATTTCATGTTTACAACTTTATTAGAAATAATTTTCTTAGAATAAATCAATTTCTTACAGTATATAATTTCCTTAGAATAAATGGGTCTTCCAATGTTAACATTGCATGGAAATATCATTGTCTAGGTTGTAGCAAATTTAAATAATTTGCTTACAATAAACAGGTCTTCCAACATTAACATGGTAATATCATTGTCTAGATTGTTGTAAATTTAAATAGTTTCCTTAGAATAAATGACTTATTCTAAGGAAACTATTATAATATATATATATATATATATATATATATATATATATATATATATATATATATATATATATATATATATAATGTTGGCATTGGGTGACACTTTCAATCTTGAACACATTTAACCACCACTAATTCCAGGGATTTTAGACTTTAAGAAAGTTTTTCAGATTCATATTTCATGGCTGACTGAAAACATTTGTGATGGTATCATTTTAGCCAGGAAATTTAATTCAATATATCATTTTGTTTTATTATTCCTCTTTTTATTATTTTGTTTAGGGTTAATTATATTATAAAGATTAACCGATTCCACATTTTATACTGTATAAAAAAAAAATAAATAAAATAAAAGAAGTAATCATGAGAGCAAACAACTTCCATTTTAGATTCCGATTCAAAATTTAAGGGATAATTGTGTGGCAGTGTCTTTATGGGGGACAGTTTTTAGTGTCCTGATATTTATTAAGTCCAAATGCAGAAAATGTAAAAGAGGAAAAATTGTGTTATGCCCTTTTAATTAAGGAAGGGTTAATCTCTTTCTTCTATTCTTATTACAAAACACATTCAAGCATTGTCATTTGGTTGACTGTAAACCTCTATCCTAAATTGTGTCTTGAACCTTGTATTGGATTAAATTTTAGTAGTAAAAAAAAAAAAAGTAGCATTATGAACTAAAGAATTTATTTATTTTAGATGCACAAGTTTCAACACAGTTTCTCCTAGTGCTGGGCTTCACACCTGACACACACAAAAAAAAAAAAAAGGTTTTTACCTAAGATTGAACTGGAACCAGCAAAGAATATAATATCTTCAGCTAGATCCACGTCTTTATTTTATTTGTCTTTGTATTGATATCTGAAGATCAACACAAATACTTTGAAGCTACTTATAAAATGATTTCTTTGATTAAAAAAAATAAAAAGGAAAAAAAAAAATGACAATTTGCTTTATTGAACAAATGAGGCTAACAGAATGAATGATTAAATACTTCACGGTCAAAGGTTAAAATTTACATTGTTTTAGTTATAATTCAATCCTAACAATAATTCTAATTTTTATACAGGAAAATAAATAAAGGACCAGTCTGGAAATAAAAGTCTAAATTTAAATATTCTTTGCTTGGCAGACAGGACAGGCCTTTAGTTTCATTTAATCAGGAATAGAAGCATTTAACCATAAAATCTATATTTCACTCACATCCCCTTGTTAGTGCTTTGGATTATAGATTAGAAATCAGTTAAATCTGTGAAGACCCCATTATTGTAAGCTGTTATTTCACAAAGAACACTGTCTGCAAGAATAATCCATTGGTACATGTCAATTACCTGCTCCAAAAAAAAAAAAAAAAAGAATAAAATACTATACTACATGCATTAACAATTTAATGTTAATTTTATTATAAGTAGAAAAGTATCATAACTCAACCAATAGATTATTGGACTGGAGATCAAGTACCCTCAGTATAAAATAGGCACTGTTCACTAACTTCAATCGACTAAAAATCCCTTTGAGCAAGAACCAATGAAGTATATACTGCATTAAAATACCTGTTACTTACTGAGGCAATAATATTATTTTATATAACACAAGAAAATATGTAATGAGATTATTAATTATTAAGATGTAATTTACTTAAGATTTTAAATCATTTTAATATTTCATAAAATTGCCTAATATTGATATATAATTTGTCTTTGTTATTAGGCCTGAGGTTTAAAAATATTGCTATTTGGAATCACTAGAAGGGATTAATGGCTACCATATATGAATTAAAAAAAAAAAAAAAAGTTATGTGATCATGAGAAAAACGTAATAAGATCCAGTGCAAGATATGTAGAAAATCAATCAGCATCTTTAAGTTACTTGAAAATGCAATAAGTTTTTATTGCATTGCCACATGTAACTTCACGAACAGTAAAAAATAATTAATAGCATGAAAGATTTACCTCCCTTGTTTTGAAACATGAAATGTTAGAATTTATAAATTAATATTGTTATAGGTATTTTTAAGTTCCTATAAAATAGCAAGAGAAAAAGGTACTTGAAACAATAATTGGTACTACCTAAATAGACCTGCCCACTCAAAAAAAAAAGTGGGGATAATTTTTGCAGATAAGACTTCTTTAGACCTTCCTTAGGCGACACTTGTCAGAATAAAAAATTGACTTTCTATTGATTTAGTAGAGGGTCCTGCTTATAATACTGATGATGTCAAATTGATCCTTGGCTTTTAAAGAGTTATTGGCCTTAACTGTTATTTACAAATATCAAGTTTGAAACTCTGCTAATACTATTGATATCTGCAGATTTTCTGCAGGTTTTCAACTTTTTTACATTTTTCTAAAAACCGTTTTTAGTATGGAATTTTTTCAGCACTTACAGAAATGTTTGAGGTTCATAATTATTTTATCTTAAATTAAGAATAAACAGATACACGATTTTATTAATTTATGTAAATTTTAGTTCTTTACTTAAAAATGTATATATCCGTTTGTTTGTTAAGATGAATCTTTTTGCAACCCCCACCTCAGAAAAATTGTTTTCATATGAAGAACAGCTAAGGGTCAATAACTCTGTAAATCCAGTGATCAATCTGACACTGTATAAATTGATATTATAAAGAGGACTCCCTTCTAAATCAATAATTTTTTTCTGATAAATGTCGTGATTTAGATCTAAAGAAGTCTAAGCTACAAAAATGAGGAACCCCCCCCCTCACACCCACAAAAATTTCTCTATTTTTTTTTATGTGTGGACCAGTCTCTTTAACTCATGAACTATAATGGAAATAAAATTTTAAAAGTTCTATTTTGCGGAAGTTAATATAACAATGAAACCTACTTCTTTCTTTTTTAAAAAATGGGTAACACTGAAAAATTTCACTCTGGCTAACACCTGTTTAAATCCATTCACAAAATGTTTAAATTTTTCTTTGCCGATTTTGATTTGTTTTACCATTTGATCGTTTTCATGAGCAAGAAAAATAAAACTTTTCTCCAAACAGTAACATCTGAAACAAACCGACATTTTAATCGAAATGCCACCTTCTCAGTTTTGTTGTTTAGCATGACAACATGAAATATCTGTTTACTTGCTAGAATTTGTTCGTTTTTATCTTCTCTACACCGAGCTTTGGGGGGAGGGGGGACCTTGTAGGATAAAAGATGCAGAAAATAGAAAAGATATAAATATGTGAAAAAATAAACAAATAAAATGTTTCGTAGGTAGCTTTTTCTTGTGTTCATTTACATTTTAAAGAAAATATATTACCCCATCTTGCATTGTGTTCCAGAAATTGTTCTCTATTACTCAAAGTTTGTTTCCGATCTTCATCATCCCCCATTGAATGTGTGCGAAAACCATTTTTATTTTGTTATCTTCTATATTTGTTGTGATGGGACAGTTTACATTTATTTACAATGAAATAGAAAAAATGTCAAAGGAAGTAAGGTGTGGTCGATCGGGTGGGGATCACTCTCTCACTGTCTGGGACAGCCTTGAACAACATAGCTTCTTTGTGTTCACAGTCTGTGAAAGAGAGAACTGCAGCAACATTGCCACAACGATAACAATAATTGGGTGCAGACCAGACCGTCACTAACTTCTCATCAAACATGTACTTATAGCCTACAAAAAAAAAAAAAGAGAGGAAAAAAACAAAGCATTAGACATACAAGCAATTTCTTTCACATGAGACCAGAAATTCAATTTTCACATACTGATTGATTTGTTTTCTACGGTTTATCAACTCTTTGCAGGTTATTTAGAGACAGAAAATATTTTTAGATTGCAAGAATTTTTTTTTTTTTTTTAACTAAAATTAACTCATAGATGGGGGAGAAGAGGTGGATTCATATCTAATCAGAATTTGATTAAGAAACAAGAAATTATTATGTAGATATAAAGTGGGGGACCAATTCTATATTACAATCAATACATATATACAGATCCCTCACTTTGTGGCCATGGTAGTTTATTTACATTCTGGAGAATGTAAATAAATCTAAAAGACATACCTGTGTAGCTAATCAGTTTTTCGTTGACTGATCAATTTGTTTTCAAAAGCTTATCAACCTTTTGCAGGTTATTTAAAGCCAGAAAATATTTTCAGATTGTAAGGATGTTTTTGTAGATGAAAGTGATTTAATCATACAAGTCTTACTAATCAACTAGTGTTCTCAAGTTGTTATTTAATAATAATACCTGCACTGACAATGAAAAATTCAAAACTCCTGTTCTCATACAATCACCGAAGTTAAGCAACATCAAGTCTGGTCACTACCTAGATGGGTGACTGCTTGGGAATGCTAGGTGTTGTAAGCTTGGATGTGCAAATGATGTAATGGATAATGGCTTGGAATTGGAAATCTGGGAGCTGAGTTCTAATTCCGGTTTTTTAATTGATTAATTTGTTTCTTTTACAGCCTATTAAGTTTTTGCAGGTTATTTAAAGCCAGAAAATATTTTTAGATTGTAAGACGTTTTTGGGGATAATAATGATTTTTACTGAAGTTCTAATTAAGATACAGTTGGAGGGGTACAGAAAAGAAGTGGATGCATTCCTTTCCCAAGAGAATTTGCACATAAGTGAATATAATTAACCCAATGGGGATTGGAACTCTCTGATTAACAATTCTGAGCCATTATCCACTGCCCAAACCACTCATCCAAACTTATAGTAACTGATATTCCTAAGCGGCCACTCATTTAGGTACTGATCATCTAGGTACTGACCAGGCTCTACGTTACTTAACAACAGTGATCATATGGGAACTGTTGTTTTAACATGATATGGCTGTACACCTTTTATAGCAAAAACAATAAATTTTACATTTATTAAATATACAATTAATTTGATTATATTTTCAGACTTAAATTTGAAAGAAGAATTTCATATGAACAAAAAACACCATCAAGAAATAAATCAAAATTTCAAGTTTTACAAATTAATAAATGCAGCTTTTTTCTTTTCTTTTTTTAAAAAAAAAAAAAAAAAAATATGCCAGGTCTCTTCAGGGTGTAGGTTATCATGACTCTCCACAGCTTTTCTTTTAAATGCCATGTCCCTTCAGGGTGTAGGTTATCGTGACTCTCTAGTTTCCTTTTCTTTATTATCTGTGAATTGTCATCTATTTTGGGGAAAGATAGCGGAGTGATTACTTTCTTGGTTTGGAATTCAAAGTTATCCTTATCTTAGACTAACATCTAATGCTAGATGGTTCAGTATACACTGCTATTTAACCCGTAGCTTTGGGTGGGTGGTGAAGAAGAGTTGGTTTTATGCCTTTCCCAAGGGAACTTGTGAAAAAGTGAATGCAACAGACAAGCCAAAGAATAGAACTTGCTTTGTAAATTTCACTTTCCATACTGAGACCGGTAGTTTATTTTTAAAATATTTTTTTTTTTAAATTAAATATTTTTATTAATTCTTTTTTTACTATTTTAATCTTTTCTAAAAAGAACATCTGACACAATTTCAAAGATTTTCATAAATATTTATAATAAATTATTCTGTTAATTTATTTAAATATCTTTTTTACTGTCTTATATATGCCAAGACATTGGCAATCATGGCCCTCCACAAATTGTCCCCCCCCTCTCCTAAACATTGTTCTGCCATCTAGGTAGGTTATGTGTTGTTTTCCTCTATCCCTCTTTGCCTTCAATCTATCCTGTGAGTATCAAATTTTCCAAGCCCTCTTCCCTCATTATGTGCCCTAAAAATTTAAACTCTTTCTCATGTTAAGTATAAGTGTCCTTTTTGTTTCCATTTTTTCTGAAACTTCATCATTGCTCACATATTTGGTCCATGGTATTCTCAGCATCCTTCTGTAGAAATATATTTCTGTTGCTTCAAGTCTCTTCTTTATCTGAGGAGATTGTCCGGCATTTACTGCCATATAGGAGGTCTCATATTATGTAACAGTTCAGTATTCTTTTCATTGTTTCTGTTACTTCAAGTCTCTTCACTTGTGAGGAAACTATCCAGCATTCACTGCCATATATTAAATAACTGTTCAATAGTCTTTTCTTTGTTTCTAATGAATTTTTCCTATTGTTAATACATGTGCTTAGCTTTTGGAAGGCATCTTTTGTTATCCCAATGCACCTTCAGATTTCAGGGTCACAATTTTTGTCCTGTTAAAACACTTGTACATAATTTATTTTTTGTACTTATTTGATTTTGATCTTTCCAGCATCTCAGGCTGCTCGTTTTGCTGACCACCATACATTCTATCTTCTTGCAATTGATGCTTAGGCTATTCTTCATGCTTTCCTGCACTACCTTCTGGAGTTCTTATAATTTCCTTTCTGCATCTGCTATCAACACTGTGTCATCTGCATATCTAATGTTGTTAAGACTGTGGCCAACATTAAGGAATAAGGCTCAGACTTCTAATTCTCATCACTGTAAAGTTTATGCATAGGTTCAGTGAGAAAACACATCCTTGCCTTACCCCTTTCTATTACTGAATTCATTTTCTATCCATATGCAGGCGGTTTGCTGCAAGTATAGGTTCTGGATTATTCTGATATCCTTCTCAAATATGTCGAGGTTACCAGGCAATTTTAGCAGTTTTTTGAGACATACATAATTCACTTGAAATGTTTGAAGTAAAAAAAAAAAAAAAAAAAAAACCTTGTTACCTTCATGCACTAATTGATGAGCTCGACAAATCAGTTTCAAATTATTGATGTGAACAAACTGAAAAAGAAAATTAAATGTAAATCATTTATGGCTTTTGAAACAATAGAAAAATACATTCTAATACAAATATGTGCTCGTCTCTTATGAATATAGTATCAGGAAATATAAAATGATATCCATATCCTAAGGAGAGCAAAATGATGAAGTTTTTAAATCTAGAAAGAAACTTAACAGCAATATATAAGTGACCATATTTATCTGAAATGTTAGCATATGAAAATAAAAATCAAATTTTTCAGAAATAATTGCATTTAATCATTTTAAATGAAAACAGCAACAGAAAGAAAAAGAGAATTACTAATTTAGAATCCCAATAAATATCTTCAAATTTGTTTTTACAACTTTTAACCTTTACCACTTTGTATGTGATTTCATTTGCTGTGCAAAAAAAGTTTATCCTGTCAATGAAGGTGACACTGATCCCTGAATTTGTTTGAATTTCAGAGTTGTGTTACCATGGCAACAGAAAACACCTGTGTGTGAAATTAACAATAGGGTTACTGCAATTGAGAGGCCTTGAAAAAGAATGCAGTGGAAAGGGAAGTAATATTAATAATGCAGAATGCTAAAAGGTTAAATAATCTAATCATTTATATATAATATATATATATATATATATATATATATATATATATATATATATATATATATATATATAATCTCCAATGATGTTTAGTAGTCCAAAGAGAGCTCATTAGTCTGAACAATTGTAAATTTTACCCATAAAAAAAAATTTATTACCACCAATTATAGATCTTTTATGATTCCTTTTTTATATATATATATATATATATATATATATATATATATATATATATATATATATATATATATATATATATATATTGCATATTAAACCCAGAGTTGTGATACCGGTGAGGACAAAAAATGTAAATTATAGTTCTGTTATTCTACATTGAGCACTATTTTATTAATACCATCACTCAATGTGGAATCAATGTGTATATCTATATAATAAAGGCGTGTGTCACACTTTTTCAACTTTACTCCTAGAGTCCATAGACCAACATTTTGGAATCAGGCTGACTGAACAAATTAAAAATATTCTGGGCCAAATCCTGAAATTTTGGATTCCCAAGTTTTCATCACTGCTATTGTTTTTAGCTATTTTTTTTACGGACTTTTTTGCAACAAATATTTTTGCATGATAACAATTTTTATAACTTGGAAATAAATTTGGGAATAATCAAATTTAATTGGGAAATTCAGCAAAAGTCACTCATGAAATAAAAATAATTGTTTGTACGAAAAGTAAGGACCTATGTACATCAAATTGTCTTTAAATTAAGTGGTGGCAGAATTATTCTTGAATTTTTAAAAGGTAAGCAATGCAATACTTAAATGCTGTGATCAATTTTGAGTTCTTCTGTAGTTTATTGTTGCCTATTGCACCTACTCCTCCTTAGCTATTGTGATGAAGGCCGTATAAAGAGCCCTCTGCAGGAGCTATATTAAATGCCACCCAATAGGGCAGCTTTTAAGTTAGTATAAAACCCCCATCATTTTTCATTTCATTGAGAAAGGACACAGACTTGAATAATAATAGATGTTGGTGTATAAATTAGAAGGAAAAGCAGAAAAAATAAAATTTACCAAAAGCAAAAATGAAATTAAGGAAAATTTAAAACAGCAAATTGTTTTTCCAAGTTTGTCTACATCTAGCAGTAGTAGACATAATTGTTTTGTCTGAATCTTAGCAATGAAGCATTGTCATTATTATCAATTTTTTTAGTTACTGAGCAATACAACAAAATGAAAGAAAAATTAGTTAAAAATTAACAGTTAAAAACTTTTATTGTTTGAAAAATTACCTATCTACAATTTTAGGTTTCAGCCTACGAGTTAGTAATGGAATTTATCTAATTTCTTTTGTCAGGAAAACAAATATCCATCATATAAATTTGCTAGATTGGGATGACATTACCAATGTATATAACAAATTAAATTTAGAATGTATATTTGGCAAAGATCTACATAGAAATAGTTTCAACCAATAACTTACCTCATTGGTAACCATGGCACCAAACAGCCAACCAGCACCACGAGGACTGATTGTCCAACTTTCAACATCCTCAGGATCCGACCAAACAAGGTGTGTGCAGAGTTAAAGAATTTCAATCAATGCTTTACACAAGAAAATTATAAATGTTAATCAGGATTATTATGAAATATTAAACATGTGATTATCATTTGTGATGAGGTTATTTTTATAGTTTTCATTTCCCTTCCATTCACCAGGGGTTCCAAACCTCTTTTTGTGTAATCATCCTCTTTTACATGGAAAAATTTTCCCACTGCCCACGTGTATAGTAATTATGCAAATACATACCAAAGTAGTTTGGTAAAAGTCTGTTTACTAGTTCATAAACTGACTTCTGATTTTGTATTTAAAAAAAAAAAAAAAAAAACCCTAAGGGAGGTAACAAATAACACTGACTTCTGCAGCAGCAGCTGCTGCTCATACCATATCAAAGAACAAACCAAAGAAAACTTGACCATTGGAAACTATATAATTTAGTTTTATGATTGCAAGTGTTGACAAAATTAAATGATTTTTATTCATAATTATAAAATTAAAAAGAATATAGACT